AATCAATTTCCTCCTGTCAGATTTACTGCCTCAGAAACCTGCAGGAGGGTCACCTATGTGTAGTTCTGACTGGCTGGCAGGCAATGGATGACTGAGTAATAGCTTTCAAAAAAATATGAATCTTAATTGGAAAAATACTTACCAGACTTTTTCTACATATGAATTGCCCAAATAAGTAAGAAATCCATACACATATATATATTAGACAGTGTGGGGGTTGTGAGGTGTGAAAAAAACACATTTGTTACTTGCATAAATAAAATCTATATGTATTCCCTATATCATGTTATTACACATCAAGAACTTACAAAAAATAAGTTTTATAGCTGGAATGCACCAATGTGATTTTTATCACCTATAAACAGTTCTATCCCGTATTTGTATTTTTATGTGATTCTTAAAAATGGGATCCATGTTAACTTCTGTCACTGTATCCCAAGTCTTCTATACTAGCCTATCCTCCAGATAAATGTGTAACAGAAAACATGCTCAACCCTCCTTTACTGGGTGACTTTCTCCTAAGTAGAGAGTAACAAAGGACATTCTGCTAGGTGAAAAGCCAAACTAAATACAGACAGCTAAAATCTTTAGACTGGTCCCAAACATCAAATACAAATTATTTTTTAAGGGCATAGGTTAACTCTATTATATATACTGTAACTCTGTATAAACAATATATTAAGTTTTATGGTAAAAGTATCATGTTTCATTCAAAGTTTATCCCTTTTCTTTATACAGTTCCTGTGAAGGTATATACTACAATGCTATGACTAAAATACATAGGTGTACAATCACAGTGCCTAAACATGTGCCATATAACCTGGCAGGGAAAACCTACTGTCACATGAGCAAAAGCTCGTTAACTTTCATTTCCCTACTGCTGGATATGTATTACTTTTGAAGGCCACTAAGGGGTTTTTTGGTTAATAAAGTAACATCTATTCAAAGAAGGCAGTTGCATTATTTTTCTGAATTATTCATCCAAGAGTTTACACCTGAGCTGGCACAAAACACCAACTGACAGGTCTATCAAATTAGTATGTAAAACCCTATCATTCAGCAATACTGATACAGTTTTTTTAAAAATTACTTTTTAGAAAATGCAACATGTAACGTATAAAAAACTCTATCCACAAAAGGCTGAGATAACTCATACAGTTCACAAATGCGAGACTAAGAGCCAATTAATTAAAAGGTGATCAGGGGAGCTCTGGTGGCAAGAAGCTGCACTGCACTGCAATCCCAGAGGCGCATGGTTCGAATCCACCAGATGCTCTGCCGGGAAAGGAGGGACAATCTCCTCCTGTACCAGTCAGATCTGATTTGATGGTACACAGACACACAAAAATAATAATAATAATAATAATAATAAAAACCAAAAGGTGATCTGTGTCAACAACAAGGGAGCTCTAGTGGAACAGACTGCAGGGAGCTGTGCTGTTAACCCAAAAGTGGTGACTCTCGGGTGGTTCAAATTCACCAGTGGCTCTATGGATATGATGGGTAAATCTCCTTCATGTGATTTATAGCCTCAGAAAGCCTACTGGAAGGTGACCTATAAATTAATTCTGACTCAAGAGAGCTCTGGTGGCCCAGTGACAAGAAGCTACACTGCAATCCCAGAGGTATGCTGATAGAATCCACCAGATGCTCTGCTGGAGAAGGAGGGGCAATCTTTTCCAGTCAGAACTGATTTGACAGTACACACACAAAAATTGGGGGTGGGGGGTGTTAAAAGAAAAAATAAATAATTCTGACTCAAAGGCAATGAGTTTTTGAGTTTTTTCTATGAGGTCCCAATTACCTAAATACTCTAACTCCCCCCCCCCCGCCCCAACAAAACAAATACAAAATGTATTCTCAATTTTTATAACTTAATAGTAGTGTATACAAAGGTTAAGTCTGAGGAGACACTCAACTCTGATAAATGAAATTTACAGGTGAGTACGAGACAGATAAGCACATCCTACAACAAAAATACTTTTGACTTTACATAATTCTGAATCATTTCATTCTCTATTAAATTCTACTGTTCTGAATTTTTAAAAAAGTTTCCAAATAATAGTGACACACACCCCCTCAAAAAATCCCAATGAAGCCATAATCTTTCTTCCAGACTCAGTACTTTTAAGAAATTTAAAGTGTGAAAAAAATAAAACTAAACTTTAGGTCTCAAAATTCTAGAAGTCAATTTCACCAGGATTGACACCAAGCAAAAAAGTGAAATAAAACCCTGAAATCATAAATTTCACACAGTTGGACAGGCTAGTCAAGAGATAAAAAGCAACAGGACAGTACATTTTAACAACCCCAGACCCCTTAATCAGACTATTTATTATGAATAATTATATATTAACAACCAAAAGAAATGAGGAGACTGCTACTCTCAAAATTGACCACATTTGCATTTTTACATTGAAATCATTCCGCTGTGTCATCGTTGCTCAAGGGTCTTGCTAAAACTTCTCTGTACCATTACAGTTTTAGTATATGTGATGCCAAAGCAAGCACTAAATTCAAATCTTTCCCTGACTGACATGACCTCCAAATTTCAGGGAGAAAAAAGAAACAAACAATAAAACCTACCTTGGAAATTTGTTTAAGTTAAAATAACTCATTACATTTTTAAAGTGTTTTCAAAAGTTTCAAAGACCACATGTTAATGAGAAACAGTAAAATACAGGAGAATAATATGATCCCATATTTATTTAAAAACAAACAAACAGGAAAACAGCTAGAAAGGGGGAGAAGGCGTTTACTTGAGTGGTAGAAGTGTCAAAATTTTTATCTCTCCCCCCCCCCCCCCGGGTTTCAAACTAGAACTCTCAGTTCAGTTATGGTTGACAAAGCAACACTAAAAGGACATAATTTAGATATATTAGAATGTGTAAAGGAAAGGACAAAACATAGATGCATCAGAACATTTTCTGGAATCGTTAAGTTATGAGCCTACATAATATTAGAAACTTACCTGAGAAAATAAGAACAGTATGCTCATTTACAGTATCAATGATCAAGTGACATTTTTCAGAGAGACATTACCCTGGATGTGCTCAGCAAGTTGTGCCAAGAAATCTGGAAGATAACCAACCACCTGGCCAACTGACTGGAAGAGATCTATATTTGTTCCCATTTCAAAGAAAGATGACCCATCAAAAGTGCAGAAACTATCATACAGTATAATTAATCAAGATTTTGTGGAAAATTATCCAAAAACAAGTGGAACAGCACATCACCAGAGAACTGCCAGATGTGCAAGCTGGGTTTAGAAGAGGTCTTTTATAACTAATGTTAGATGCATCTTGGCTGAAAGCAGGGAGCACTAGAGGAATGTCTATCTGTGTTTCATTGACTATGCGGACTGTGTAGATCATAACAAATTGTGGCTAACTCTGAGAAGAATGGGAATCACAAAACATTTGATTGTACTTACACAAAACCTATACTTGGACCAGGGAGGAAGTCGTCAGAACAGAGCAAGGAGACAGACATTTCATGGTTCAAAATTGGGAGGGATGTAAACCAGGGATGTGTCCTATCTCCATACCTTTTCAATCTATATGCAGAACAGATCATCCAGGAGGCGGGGCTCTATGAGGAGAAATGTGGCAGCAGGGCTGGAGGAAAAACTCATCAACAATCTGCATCATGCAGATGACACAACCCAGCTTGCTCGAACTGAGGAGGACCTGAAATGTCTGCTATAGAAGGTCAAGGACCGCGGACTTCTACATGGATTGAAGCTCAACAGCAAGAAAACAAAAGATTCTCAGCACTAGACTGACTGGCAGCATTCTAACAGATGGTAAAGGGAATGAGATGGTTAACAGCTTCCGTTTGCTTGGCTCCACAACCAATACTCGTGGTATCAGCAGTCAGATAATCAAAAGGTGAATTGCACTGGCAAAGTTGACAAAGTCTCCAGAGTACTGAAGAGCAGTGATGTCAACCTGGAGACTAAGGTGTCCCTGATCCAGGCCATAGTCTTTGCAATTACTTGTTATGCATCAGAAAGCTGGGTAATGACTAAGCATGATAGAAAGAGAATTAATGCCTTTGAGCTATGGTGCAGAAGAATAGTACTGAATATATTGTGGACTGCCAGGAGAATGAAAAGATTCATCCTAGCGATGCAGACGCTCTTTGGGGATAAGGATTATGAGACTTCATTTGACATACTCTGGGCATGTTGCAAGGAGGGACCAGTCCTTGAGAGGGACAATGAAGGAAGGAAGATCGTCAATGAGATGGATGGATTCAGTGACTGGGGAAAAAAATGAGTGGGTGTGTCAGAGAATAAGGTTGGCACAGGATAGAGCGTGTTTCAGGGCTCTTGTACACTAGGTCAAAAGCTACTGGCGTGCAACAACAACAAGTTCATTTACATAACAAACAAATTTCTTGAACAACAGAATTAAAAAGAAGGTACTCAAAAGGGCTGGACAATCAAGCCACACTGAACGAGTGTGACTCTCCAGAGTCCTGAGGGTAATCCAGTCTCCCACATCAGGTTCCTAAAAAGGATTACTGTGCCTCTTCTCCCATTCCAAAGTTTGAAACTCTTAACCTTTCCCATTCTGGTATACCCACATTCCTGCCTGTATGCTATTAAAAGAATACAAAAGCATATTCATGTTCTCCATAATGAAAAATAGTAACTACCAATATTTTACAACATCCAGGCAAAAATCACAAGACACATTTTAAAGAAATCAGTAAAAAAGGAAAAATGCTACTGAATTCATACAGGTCTTTGCATTTAAAATGCTTTAAGATTTAACTCAAATTACTTTCATGTTACTAACAGAAAAACTTGACCAATACCAGAAAAGTGAAAAAAATCAGTAGGTCTGGGGCAGAAATTTAGTTCCAACTCAAAAACTCAGCCCATTACCAATAGAAAGAATGAGAAAAGAAATCAAGATGTATTTGTCAGCTAAAAAGATTTTTCTATAAGCATATGTAAAAAAAAAACCACACAATAAATGCTAAATACATACCTCTACTTCATCCCCTTCACTAATCTCTTTTTTTATATCAGGTGGTGGTGGTAATCTAACTTCATTAAATGGAACCTGGCGTTCCGGCTGCCAACTGAATTGGAAAAAGAACAATTTTAAAATATATTATTCCAAGAGCCCATAAAACCAAAGCTATATATTTCGTGCTTTTTGCTGAATATTGTGCAAGTTATTTTATCACTTAATTTCACCTAAAGGAAAACAACTTTCAACTATGTATTTTTCCCAAGTACTTTGTTGTTCAGTTAGAAGAGTTTTTAATGACTCCTAATGAGATTTTAAAATAAAGTTGCTAATAGTTATAACACCTTCCTTAATTATTAGTAGTAAGTAGGGAACAGTACACACATTCTATAAATGAAACAGGCTAAAATGTTCACAGCAATAACTTAGATTTCAATTAATGTTACATTTCCAGAGCTGTCAAATAGCAATAGGATCAATTTACTTCAAATATTCATGCTACTGTATTATCTTTCAAAATACATTACAAAATTTTATATATATATATATATATATATTATACAATTACTCTGGCAGATATGCTCACCAAAAAAAAAAAACACAAACCCAAAATAAACATTGATCGTATCAAATAGATGAATTACAAAAGATTCTTTTACACTGAATTAATCTTTGGGAAAATCCATACAATTAAAACTGAGATAAAGCTCATTTTTAATATTTGTAGCAAATCAGAGTATCTTAGCCACTGTTTAAGTGAAGATATGTTTTAAAACTGAGTAAGGGTAAAATTTCTTTCTTCCTCTAAGTTCCTGCAACATTCATATACCTGGAAGGTGCATAAGCACTTTTTTTAAAAAAAAAAAAAGTTCCCAGCTGCCTGCCAGTGTCTTACCAACAAGTAAAACAGTGTTTTCTTTTCACCTTTACTTTCTAAACAGCAGATGCTCAAAGACAGAAATCATCTCGTTTCTAAAGTAACTGCTAGTCAAAAATCTTTTTCAGGCAGTTCTTAAAAGTATCTTAGAAAGTGGAAGTAGACCAGTTCTTTTTTTGATCTTCAATTAAACAGTTCTCTTTCCTAAATTTAACTAAGTGCAACAAATTATCCTTTCCAGACTTAGAACATTTTAAGATCACACAGCCTTTATAAATTTGGTAATTTAAGAACACAGAGCCCTCCACAAAGTTGATAGCATTTCCTGTGCATATTAAACAATGCAAAGATGACAAATATCTATGCTATTTTCCTTAGGAACTGTCAAGTCAGTTCTAACATGACCCTATGTGCAACAGTACAAAAAATTCCTAGTATTACACCATTCTTACACTCTCTGCTTCAAACTATTCTTGTAAACCACTATGTCTTCCTCTTTGTCCCTCAACCTCTACTTAAACAAGCATTAAACAGTCACTGAGGGAGGCTTTGGTGGTGTAAATCTAAACTCATGAAGCCATGCAGCTTTGGCATTTCAAATCCAATTTCCCTCCATTACAATTTAGAGCATCAGTAATCCAAGGCAGAGTCAGAAATCAATTGGATGGCAGTGAGCTGAGTTTCTGAGTATGCATTTGGAGAGTCTTTTCTAACATCATTATGGGCTTTCAAAATTATAATTTCATCTATTTCTATGTGAACTACTGATTCATGCATATATATTTTGGTAAAAATTAGGCGGGTTTTTTTTTAAGTGATGAATAAACTATAACCAGAAAAGGCTGAATCAAAATCAGAGTTTCTCATTCCTATGATGAACATACATTCAAATAACCTTTCCCAAAAGTAAAATAATACACTCATTGGCAATGAGACACCCAAAAGGAGCAGATCTTTACAATTTTAACTTACTTATTTTCAAAAACGACTGTGAGGGAATCTTCATGAACATCTTTGATAAATCCCTGCAAGAAACAAAATTATTACTAAAAGCTTATCAATATCCATTTAAAATAGCAGCCAACGCAAACGTATGTGGTTTGAATCCACCAGCTGTTCCACAGGAAAAACCTAGGTAATCCCAGGTTTACTACCTCTGAAAACCCACTGGAGGGTAACCTATGGGTCAGTTCAGGCTCTATGATACATAACCATAACAATAAAAGCAGAGGTGTCATTCAGTAACTTTATCTGATGTGGCTTTTTCTAGCCATTGTCTTTGGGACTCTCACAAGATAGGTGCAATAATGTAAATAAGGATTGGTCCATTTGCCATCTCTTCAGGCTTAAATTAAGCCAGCTCAGAAAGGGAAAAGATGATAAGACTCTCACCATCACAAAGAAAAATTAAGAGTAATGTGTTCTTTAGGCCCAAAATTCCTGCTTGAACCAGAAACAAAGACATGCCACAATGCTGTATCCCAGGAAGTAATGCTTGATAGTATCAATGGCTGTGATAGTCACAGAAATGGCAGAATGGAAGTGGTCATACGACAGAGGCTGTAGTCCTATCCCAAAATGAAGACAGATGGCAGAGTACTCACTGGTGAAGCTAATGCCTCCAGGCACCTACCTGTCAGTAAAGCTAGGTCTTTTGAACCTCAGAGCCAGGGAACTGAACTCCTTCCAGCCTAGACACATGGAGTGTGGCATGCAACTGGCAGGCTAAAGGAATTGCTTTGTTTGTTTAACACTTTTCTGAGCAGGGCATCAGAAAGAGGCTCCTATTAAAAGGTCATTAGGAATTAACAATTGTATTACAAATGCACCCCAATCCGAATCGCCACCTGTTACTTCCTTAATAGACCGTAAGTATAATCAATGAGTTGTGACCAATCCATTGAGTTACCAGACATAGTAGAGATGTAGTAAGAGCTGTAGGAGGGACAGGCAAGTGTGAAGTTGAGTGGCATGTCTGAATTAGCATTGTGTTGTTGAAGCTGTAGACAGGGATTCTTCCCCTTGGAGAAGTTAGTAAAGATTAGACTTAGCCACCTCCATTCACACCCAAGTTTTTTTACAAGATCTAGAATGAGGCAAATATAGTTTTAATTTCTATCATTTCTGAGATATATGGTCCCAAAAAGCTACTTGACCTCTCTGATTTCCTCTTCCACACACTACCATCCAACTCAGAAAGAAGAGGGGGAAAGTACATCACTGAAACATCACAGCCATTAGCTGACAGTCAAATTGAGAAAGACAATATTTAGATTCTGATCAAGAGCTCAGTCTCTAGACACTCAACAGTTTAATCGATATAACCTTAAGTAAACTTTTTAAACAAATGGAGGTATTATCAAGCCTCATGTAAGTAAAAGAATTAAGTCATTCATGTTAAGCAAAACAGCAAGCACATAAAAACTCAATTTTTGTTATAAATCAATACTAGGTTCAGAAGTATTAAATTCTATTCCATCTTGAGTAAAATGAAGGTTGAATGCTAAAATTTGCTATAAACGAATCTTATTTTTCCTATTAACTTCTCAACCCTCACATAAAAAAATCCTATAGTTTATACCATGCCTCAAAACCCATTTAAAATATATAAACACTGCTGATTAACTCAAGTCATTTCCCAGCTATAAGATCAATTTTTATATTAACCTTCTACTCAAGATAGATCAACATAGCACTGTAAAGATGGACTCAACTATATCCGAGATGATGGCACAGGATAGGACAAGGTTCAGATTCACTGTTCATGCTTAACAGTAACAACATTCAACCTTCATTTAACTATTCTATGGAAAAGAATAAAGTTTGGCAATCTTAAGAAAGAGCAAAAGACTTCAGTTTATAATAACTATAGAGCAAAAGTACAGTCTACCACAATGTTAAAAATGAGCAATCCTGTACAAGCACTTATACAATTATAATTAACATTAAATAATTATTTAGAACAGTTTCAGTAAAGACTGAAAATGCAACCTTGGGGAAATGTTCTTATACACACAAACATCAGTAATTCTTCACACTAGACCCCATAATCTCTCACTAGACTCTAAATTAAGTCACACACAATTTGCCTCCATATATATGTACATACATACATATTCTCTTATGGACTGAATTGTGTCACCCAAAACCGGTGTACTGCAAATCCTAATCTATCCTTGGAAAAAGACGCCATGATGGGAAAGATAGGGTCAGTAAAAGAGAATATGACCCCAACAAGATGGACTGATACTGACTATTCCAAAGGGATCAAGCATGGCAAAGATCATGAGGACATGGGATAGATAGGGCAAGCCCCAATTGGTTGTCCACAGGATCGTCATTAGTCATAGTTGATGACACCTAAAACATACTGTATGTAGATAGAAGCTCTGGTCGTTAAGCACTCAGCTGCTAACCTAAAGCTCAGGCAGATTTAAATGTACCAGCCTCTCCAAGGGTGAAAGATAAGGTGATCTGGCACTGTTAAGATTACAATCCAAGAAACCCTATATAAGGCATTTCTACTCTGTCCTTTAAGGTGCTTTGTCAGAATCTCTCAATCTAAGTTTTTTTGGGGCACAGTGCATTAAAATGTTGGTTTGCTAATTAAAAGAGTTGACAGTTTGAATCCAACAGCCATTCAGTTAGTCTATTAAATACCATTTCACTGTGCTAAGACAAAACCTATACATAAATCAAGAAGTTGTTCTAATACAGCAGATACTGCATGGTTTGACATCAGGAAAAATGTGTATCAGAGCTATAATCCTTTCTCCATACTTATTCAATATGTACGCCAAGCAAATTTCAAGAAGGTGGACTTTATGAAGAAGAATGTGGCTCAGGACTGAAAGAAAACTCATCAATAACCTACATTACTGGTGCAACCATTATGGAAGGCAGTACAGCATTTTCTCAAAAAATTGCAAACAGAAGTAACATTTGAACCAGCAACTCCACTACTGGGAATATAACCCAAAGAAACCTTAACTGTCAACCCATGTTTATCACAGCTTTGTTCACAATAGCAAATAGTTGGAAAAAACCCCAAGTGCCCATCAACGAACAAATGGATAGAGAAGCTGTGGTATATTCACACAATGAAACACTATGCTGCACTGAAAGACAGAGAACTCATGAAATATTATACAAAATGGGTGACTCTAGAGGACATTATGCTGCCTGAACTATCTCAGTCACAAAAGGACAAATACTGCATAGTGCCACTGTTGTAAAACGAGACAGACATCGGGGCTGGGGGGAGACTGAGAAAGATGGGATAAATTAAAAGTGATCTATGATTAGGCATTACTGTCATGACAAAAGTCCAGAATGAAGGTTGTATAGGTATAACAATGAAATAATTTTTCTTTTACTTTTCTAAGAGAAGAGCACACTGGGGGTGGGGGAGGAGTGGGCAGCAAGAAAAGTGTAACAATGAATGAATAGACATTTTAAAAAAAGAAAAAGAAATCATGGTACATTAAAAAACACTCCTAAATTACACAGATGGTGTGCAGAAGGGGAAGCGCGGAAGACCCTCTATGATATGGATTCAGTCACTGGGGTAATGAGGGCAGGTGTGTAAGAGACAATAAGGTTGGAACAGGATAGAGGAGCGTTGAGGCTGTTATACATAGGGTTGTTATGAGTTGCAGGCAACGTGATGTCACATAACAAAATATGGAGAACAGAGATTATAATCTTCAAAACAGATTACATCCTAACATCAAAAAAGCAAAAATCCTCACCAAATATCAAGACAGCTAAAGACTGAAGTAGTCAATGACTTAATTTTATTTGGATCCACAATCAACACCCTTTAAGCTGCAGCCAAGAAATAAAAAGGTACATTTCACTGGGAATATCTGTCAAGGATTGTGTTCATCTGAGTAAACTATGCTTGAAAGGATATCACATTACCAAGCCATGGTATTTTCAATACTTCATATGCATGAGAAAGCTGAGTAATGAATAAGGAAGACGAAACATATTACTGGACATACCATACCAACTGGAGGCAAATTTGGTGAAATGTCATACTTAGGGCATGCTGTCGGGGGCGGGGAGGGGGGAGTACCATTCCTTGATAAAGGACCTCATACAAGGCAAAGCAGAAGGCCACTTATTTTGCATTCAACGATATGGAATAACTCAGTGACTAATAATGTAAAAGGAGCAGGTAGGCACACAGGTAATGGGAAGTAGATGGCACATAGGGATCAACAAAAAGATGAGACAAAATTTTCCCACAGAGCACTATCTACAATCAGCTACCCAAATCTGGATTTCTAGTGTCCCAAATTTCAAGAAAATAAAAGTTTTGTTCATTAAAGTCATCCACATGACTTTAACATAACTTTACAAATTCAGTTACAGCAGGATTAGATAACCCAGACACCATGCACGCAGCATACGTAAAAGAACATACACATCAAATACCTAGGTTAAAACAGGGCAGAGACAAATCTGTTTACCTCATCTCCTCAAAAGCCTACTCAAAGCTGGTAAGGGGCATTTAAAAAAAGGTAAATTATAAACTTATTTTTAGAAAACTGGCATTTATAAAGCAAACAGACACACACACCAGCAATTACTAATTTTTAAGTTATTGCTGTATGTCACTTATTTCAAGAAAATTTACTGAGAAAAACTCAAACAAAAACACAAGTTCATTGCCTTTGAGTCAGCAGTGACTTACTGCTGACCCACCAGTAGCTGGTTTCCAATTAAGTCCAGTAGTGAGTTTTTTTTGTCTTGATGATGAGATGCAATCCATAATGAAGGCTATAGTCTCATCTTCTATAGCATCGAGCTCTGGTGGCCTAATGACAAGAAGCTGCACTGCAATCCTGAGAGCATGCGATTGGAATTCACCAGCTGCTCCATGGGAGAAGGCTGGGCAATCTCCTCCCATGCGATTAACTGCCTCTGAAAACCTGGTGGAGGGTCAGCTACGGGTCAGTTCTGACTCCATGGTGGTGTTGTTATGTGCCATCAAGTTGCTTGTGACCAGTGG